GAGGAGGGGCTCCAGGCAGCCCCATTCCCCACCAGACCACTCCCCTGACCCCCAAAATGCTTCCTAAGGGCCCCCAGGTGAAGCCCCCAGCCCAACCCCTGCCCCCACCACCCCATGTTGTAGAACCAGCCGTGTGAACAGCTGGTGGGGCCCTGCAGCATTGGTCCTGGCTGCTCCTTGCCTGTCCCTACAGTGGCCCCATCACCTCTGAGGTGTTCCCAATTCTCCCCTTTGCCCACCAGTGCCTGGTGACCCCACCCGGCCTCCCCTGACCACCCCTCATGGCACGCTGAGTGGGTGGAGGGCAGATCTTCCCTGCCCGCCCCTCCTGCGGGGCTGGTGCCTGGCCCCTGTCCCTGAGCCAGAGGCAGAGCCCACAAGAGGCTGCCCGAGTCACCCTCACCATCTCCACGCCGTCCTGGCTCCATACTCTGCCACCCCCACTGGGGTGCCTGACCCTAGCCCTGGGGCCCCCACCTCCGGAGGTCCCCAGGAAGCTCGGGGTCAAGTCCTGCCCCTAAGGACCCTTGCCATCCCCCAAGACCCTGAACTCCCTCCCTCTGCCCCCTGGCAGGCAGGATCAAGCCCGCACCCCTGATTCCCCCTGCCACATGGTTTACAGGTGAAGACAGTGCGTGTCCAGCGCCAGGTGGCTCATTCGAGGTGGAGCTGGGACTTGCTCCTGGGTCTCAGTGTGTGTCCAGGGGACAGGCTCCTCCATTTCCAGCTGCATGAAAATGGGGCAGAGCCACCGCTGACCCTTCTCCATTCATCCACTCATTCCTGAGCAGGGCTCCAGAGCGGAGGCAACCAGAGTGATTTGATGAGGTCACCGAAGGCTTCCTGGAGGAGGGGACATGGAGGCCTAGGACAGGGAAGCTCAGTGGGGAGGGAGGCCACTGTCGGGGGACCAGGAAGGGGACCACGGTGCCCAGAGCCCAGGCCCAGCCTCTCAGGCTGCGGAGCTGGGCACCCCACCTGACCCTCCTGGAGTGGGCTGCCACTCAACAGCCTCATGTGGCACCCCATCAGCCACCCACCTGTGGACCCGGGTCCACCACAGCACACACAATGCTACACACACACAGCACAATACACCCCATCACACATACCCACAGTGTACACAGTCACACCATACCCCACACACCACGACAC